CTACTGAATTGTATTTTTAGTGCCACAAGTTAAACGGATCCGGACCTGCTTGTACGTAGTGAGCATAAACACCTTTACCTTTCCCCGCTAGCCCCCGCGCGATCTCTTGACCTTGGCAATGAATCTGGTATTATAGGACGCCCACGACAAGGAGCCGCTGCGGGCCATAAATATTCCTCGCGGAACGCAGTTTCACTTTGCGGGTAAACGAATTTAGGTAAAATTTTTGGAAAGCGGTAATTGTTAATCTCAGTTCACATTTTAATCGGCTTCCGAATACAGTACGGACTCGGAACAAAAATATAGCAAGAGCAAAACTTTTTAAAATTGCAACCAATTTATTAATACATATAAATTTTATGAATTTAAAAATGCTGAATTTTTAATTGGTTTTCAATTGTTTTCTATTGCATAAAACTTTCATGATCATTTCTTTTTTATAAATTTTTCCATCGTAACGTGTGATTTAAACAAATTGGAAAAGATTCCAAAATGGGACATGTCAGCGATATTCAAACTTTCTGGTAGTATAAAATCAGGAATAACCCCTTTTATTTTGTTTTTAATGGATCAACCTTTAGTTCTGATTGAGATTTAGAACATTTATAAAGAATAAATTAGTCTATTCATGTATAAAACGTAAAACAGTCTTTGCGAGTAGATACAAAATATTTGAAAAACTTTTTCTACACTTAAGTGTGTGTACACTACTTCCATAACAAAAACGTATTACTTCAACTGTTTGACTCTTAGGATCGAACGGATTATGGTCACACTGTACAAACTCATCAATAATTATATAGACTGTCTATCCCTACTGCAGAGAATCCTTTTTCACACTATAATTCAAGGAGTGATATATATAAAATTTGTTTCATTTATTTTAATTAAAGAGCCAATAATTTTACGACCTAAAAATGTTGTTTAAATATTAAATTATTAAAATGAAAACGAATTCTTTACAATACAATACATACACTCTGTAGGCTTAATTAAAAAATGCCGAACTTTAACTAATCCATGACTATTATGGAAAATAAAAATAACCCAAAAATCATGTTGTCCTATAGCGAAAATTATATAATATGAAGGCAAATGTTTATTCAAATTTTAAACTTTTCGTAAACTATTTTTTATTAAGATAAAAAAAATTCCAGGACATAATAGTTAATTATGATATGGTTATCGTGCGAAATAAAATAAGTTTAAAAGGTCATCGGAGCACTATCTTCGAAAGTCAAGGTTACTAGGAAAAAGTTATCACTATTACGCAGCCGACGTAAAGATTAACAACAAATCCACTGAAAATAATTGCAATCAGGTTATATAAGATTGCTGATTGTAAATGTCGAAATGTAAGATAAAAATAAATAAATAAATAACTGACCCAACTACCAACGTTTTTGATAAATGCAAGCGAATTTTGAAGTATGAAGTAGAGACACCGGATTATGGTGCTTCAAAGATTTAAAGATAATGCGCTATACCAACTATCAATTGCTCCAGTTCCAGATTCAGATTATAGTGTCGTATATCTTAGCTCTTTCGGTCAGCATCTAATAAAGTCAGAAAGTGTCATGTGACCGTCAATATCTACAAATAGACATTTTAAAACATAGTATTATGATCTGCAAATGAGCTATCAAGATTTCTTACATTTTGAGGTACCGGGCGAAGATTTCAATTTTTTTAAATATCCAAGCCCAAAAGATTAAAACTTAAAAAACCTTATAAAATTGTTAACTTCCACAGGCTAGTGTAATACGTTTCAAAAAGTTTCTGGATTCCTCCTGCACCGGTTTCTGTTGAATCAAACTTGCTAACGCTTTGCCAATCATCCTGTTGGCTTCTTCAGAGCTTAACTGAAACTGGTTCATAGTTTCCGGGAAAAGCATAAAATTGTTGTTGCTTAAAATTGATAATTTGAAATTATTAAATTAAAGTGTGTCCCGAACTCTGCCATAGAGCAAAAGGTATATACAGTAGTATAAATAAAAAAATTTTTTTCAATAAATGTGCAGGCAAATTTTAGTCTTTAGAAAAATTGATCGAAAATATCTTATTGTTGTTATTTTATTACAAAAAATACGAATAATTTGTATATTTTATACAGTTACTATTTTATATAGCAAACTTAAGAAGGACGGCTCAAACAGATTTTCAGCAACTGTCAAACATTTTTTGGCATAATCTACTTTTTCTTTAGGCATTTACGAGGATAGTTGGTCAGAACGTAGAATCCAGATTAAATGGCGTACTCAGTGCAGTTTTGACATTCAAACCAAATGTATATGAAACACCATGTATATTTTTTAAAAGTCGATTAGATATTTAAAAATATGTATAAATATTTAACTTGCTTAAAACTGAAATGGGCAAATTTTATGTTTTACCCTGTAACTCGAAAACAAGGCCAGCTACAATTATTGAAGAATTTATATTTACTTATTTATATTTATTTATATTGTGCATTAGATGGAGAGGAAATTTTTATTGGGATTCCCCGAATCGAAATTGAACGTCACAAATGCATAATAATTATTATAAAATACATACGTTATTAAATAATGACAGATAACACTCTACAATTGCAAGATATTATTTAAAACATTTTGATCGAATTTGAGTGGTCAATTGACGGTTACCTACAACAACCAAAAATCAAGAAATAATTTGTCAAGATGCGGCCTATAAAAGTAGCCCCAATAAATCGCATTTTGTTAAAAATTATTTCTGAAACTGATGATAATTTTTTGATGGGAATGTTTTTAAGTTTTTGTTGAAAAATGATATTTTTTAAACAATTAGCCACAAAAAGGTACTTCTGTTTAAAGAAAAAAGAACTGCTTTTTAAGTTATTTAAGTTTCTGGAAAGTAATGCTTGGCGAATTAATAAATTATTCTATCTGAATAATGATTGCTTCAAAAACAACAATGAAGTACAAAAATATTGTAAATTATTTGGAACTTAAATTATGTCGCCAGTACCTTTTATATCCCAACTAAAGATATGTTTTTTAAATTTCATTTAGGTATCTTTAGGTTTCAGAAGTCAAAAAAAGAAAACGATTTTTTGACCCCCTTTTACACAGTCGTCTCAAGGAGGTTTTCGAAACACATTAACCAATAACTAAACTAATTTTATTTTTTAATTTTGCCAAGAAATTGGCGGAACGCCTATGGAAATATTTACAATCGACCATATTAACTAAAACAATGTCGTTTAACCCAATTCGAGAATTCTGAGGATATTTGAAACTATTCCCAACAAAATTTAGCGAGAACTAATATTTCAAACAAAAAACACACACTCGTTGAGCATGTGGCAAATCAAACTCGTAGCTAAGGTTGCGTTTATCAAACTTGTTGCATGATATACTATGAAAGTGGTATGCAAATTTGTGATAACTGTATTAGCAAAAAACTCTTACGACAACTAAAGGCATTTTTCTGATAGCGATATGATTTTGACCAGCTACCATTTCAATCCACATAAAAGAATTAACGTAAAATTTTAGGACCTCTCTCAAGGGTTGAAGATATGGAGCTGTATTGAATAAATGCCCTTAAATAAAAAATTGCCAACTCCAAGTATTTCTAAAAAATTCAAAAATTTAAGATCCCCGATATCCTTTGAGATTCAAGAATATCTATGGATTTCCAAAAAACCATTTTTGTTCTATTAAATAATTAAGTGAGTTTTTAGTTAAAAAAAAGAAATATGATTTTTATAATAAAGCACACATTTTTAGTACTTTCACGATAGAAAATGCGGAATAATTAACCAAACCTAAAACCGAAGCCACCAGAATTAATTTTGCTTAACCCTTAGGTGTTAGTCATACATTAAGTAATACATTTTTTTAAATTAGGTTATGGTCGAGGTTATCGTGAATAACAACCAAATTGTACAAATCCGAAAAACACTAGAAGCGGATTCTGACAGATAAGAAAGAAACTTTCAGTCTTGGAGTTAATTCAAATTCCTTTTAATAAATTAATACCGGTGAGGTGACAATTCGGATTGATTTTAATAATTGCCGGATTTCTAGAGAAAATATAAATGTATCCATCATCATCATTGCGATTTTCATCTGTCAGCTTCTCTAAAAACGATAAGTTGCCAAAAATGACACATTTTTTTCATTCTTTTAAATTTTAGACACAAACGTGGATTGAACTAATAGCAATGCAAATGAAAATGGAAATTAACATTTCGTGTTGGTTCTGACAATAATATCATATTATAATATTAATATCAATTATTAACAACATTTACTTTAATAAAACCCAATAAGTACAAAAAACTAACCTATAAACCTAAACTAAAATAAAGATTTGTTTTTTTCTGCTGCCTATAATCTAAAATATGCTCTACGGAAGATACCACTCTAGAACGTCAACTGAATGTGTAATGTATAATGTATAAGTACCGTCGTAGCAAAAAAAAACTTATAAACTTCTTCAGACAATGTAAAATTATTAAACACTCGCTCCGCGTCCTCTACAGAACTTGCTGCATAATACACTATAAGCGTATAAATTCTGCATACTACGAGTATCCTGGTTTGTTAAAAAGCTTATGTATTTTGTCTATCTTTATCTCAAAACAAATGTCATTACTTATTGCGTAGAAATAAAGTGATTTCATCTATTTGTCATAAAAAAACTACTACATACTACATACCGATGCAATTTTAGACTAAACCGCTAACATTTACACTAACTTCAGAGGGGAAAAATCGATTATCTCTGAAAAACGAGCTAAAAAATTCGACCTTGTCGCTTTACGACCATCATTTTCATCTATAATTAGATCAGAGGAAATAATCGGTCTCGTCATAATCATATTGAGCCAGCTGTAAATAACAGAACTAACCTATTCCAAAGGCGGATTTTTTAGTCGTGTCGCTAACAAACGCACAAAAGATAATAAAAAGTTATCGCCTCAATTAAAGGTATTCACAATGTCCCTGTGTGACTGGATTACTTCAACCAACCTTACCATTTCTTGCATCCAACCATCCATCTTCAAAGCTTCCAAAAAGCAACACATACAGGAAAAGTGCATTCAAAAATCTGCGTGTAAGTTTTTCCTGTCGATTATTCTGGTGCAAAAATCACAACTATTTTTTTTTGAAACTGTGCTTTTACTGCAATGAATCACATCCTTTTGCAATAACTTTTTATACGTGCAAGTCAGAAAACGAGAGAAAAGTCCTGCGAAACAAAGGCAAACTTCAGTTCACACATAAAAATACTACTTGTCCACTTTAAATATGTAAAATAACATTTTTGAAGATAAGATATGGACTGATTATATTTTTAAACAAACGAAAATAATTTGAAAATAGACATATATATTGCAATACGCGCACCGCGGTTAGTTACAAAGCATGTTGCGCTTGCTTGAACCTGGCAGAAACCTAATATGCTCTAATGAGATGTTATTTCGCTATTTTTTGTGCAACTCATAGCCAAGCAAACAGTCAGAGCAAAAAAAGGAGCTCAGTCTGGGTTAAACTAGTTTGGTCTAAAATCGGAGTTAATTTTTGATATTTTAGTTCGTGACTTCCTAGTTAAACCAAAGTATTGTCAACGTGACAATTTGAAATAATGTTTAGCGGATATGGCCGCTAAATGACAGCTATGGAAACAATAAAACGAGAATTTGTCACTTATTTCACAATATATTTTTATATTATTCAATAATTGAAGTTTTTTGCTTTATTTCTAAGTAAATTGCGTTTTTCTCATTTTTTTGGAATCGGAACCCCTACTTTTATTTAAATTTTTCGATTCGAAATTGGAATATATTTTTTTCGATATAAAACATATCTATTTCATAGTTTCAACAAACTAAATAGTTCAAAAAATGGGGTGGTCCTATCTACTACGTACTATATTAAAAAAACAAATTACTATGTTTAAAGCTGATGCAGAAAAAAAACTTCTGTCGCGTGGTACAAATAAGTACATTTCATCTTTCTTTGTACTTAAGACCGTAAACCGTAAGAAAGATATACTTTAATTTATTGTTCATAATTGTAACACTAAAATCGACTACCTCGTCAACTGTGGGTTTACAGTACAACTGAAGGAAGTCTTTTTTCATATTTTACATTTACCGCAGTTTCGATATACTTCAAGAGACAAGCGGTGTTGCAATTTCCTGAAAGTTTATGATTCATTCGCGCACCTGTAATTTTGAATGACTTACACCTCCCTCTCGATTCATGCTATGGTTTAATATCTCTTCAGAGATCGGTACTATTTTGCATAATTTTTATGCAACATGGTGATCAACAGACCCTCAATAACCCCAAAACGATCATGGTATGGCCGTCATAAGGAGATTGGACTGAAACCCGTTTATGGGAAATGCGCATTTGAACAAGTGTTTTATATTAGGTTTCCAGTCTAAGTTCATCAAACTTAACCGGGTGGACAACAAGATGTATCAAAATTATGTTGGAAACACTTGCCATTAAAGCTAATTCATATTCACATCACAGAAAAATGGTTACAGAGGCGCACTTCAACCCTAAGAGGATGGCATACACGTCAACTACAGCTAACACAACCCCAACAAAATTGAAAAAAATCTAAGTGCAACTAGTAAAGTGGCATTTTCGTTTTTTTTTTTTACTCAAGCTTCAAATAATGTATTTAAAAGCTCTTTCGATTTAAATATGACCATAGTTTGGTCTCACCACGTCTCTCCTTAGCTGAATACGGTACTGTAGAACAGATAAGTATACAGTCATTAAATTAAAGTTAGCGATCTAAATACGTCATAGATTTTGTTTTCATCGAGCGCAAAAGTCTTCCAAAACATCAAAATCGCCATGTAACTATATTATTAACCAACGACACGGTATTGCAAAGAACAGCCCATTATTAAAAAATCGCTGCCGTATACCGTAGTCTAACTTTCACACTAAATCACAAAATCCCGAAAAATCGAATCAAGCTATTGCAAAAGGTCGATTGAATTTGTCGTACGAAACTAACATCAAAACTTCGCGACGTTCGTGTTTGCGGCGCACCGATTCAAAAATAAAACCAACCCGCCTCATACGGTAATCAAATGTTCACTGATGAGGTGATCCGCACGCCGTTAAACGATGACCAGCCGTACGTTCTGCTGGTGGAACCGCCGATCGGATACCACGTGCTGGTGCAATAAAAATCGAACATGTACCCAGTATCCAAAAATTCGATTTTTTCGGCGATTTTCGGAAAGGCCAACCTGAGAATTTCGGGCAAATTCCATGAGCACCTAATTAACTGTTGTTACCGATTTATTTTCAACATTTTCAAAAATATGTCAGTTCAAAGTTGACATTCCTTGTAAATGATTTTTTTTTAGTTTCCTATAAAAATGTTGAAAACTGCAATGTGGCCTTTCCATAGTGGTAAGTAAATTATAGAATAGAGAATACCCACCATAAACTATAACAACTAGATACAGTGGAAACAATTTTATATTAATATAATATCAGAATGGTTTTCACTTTTTCTTTAGAGTTGTCTTTTCCATTTTCAAATTATTATTGGTGAAATAAATGAAAACGACTGCTTCCACTTAAGGCGTACACTAAACTAGATCTTCATCGCACCATTCTAGTGATTCTAGTGATTCTAATGATCGCACCGAACGGTGTATCCGCGGTATGTTATATAAACTACCTGAGATTAATAAACTGAAATACGATGAACATTAAAATGTTTGGCTATTTGATGCCATAATTTGCCCTAAATATAAACGATAATAATTATCATCTATTATTCCAAAATGCAACACTATATTAATACTTTTATTTAATGAATTTTGATTGAAATATTTTTTGAAAAAAAAAATGCGATAAACAGAATACGCATTTTTCATTTCAACAATAATTAATATTTTCAGAAAACAAAACCACAGAAATATTGTATTATAAAAAAAAGAACCTTTTTGAAAAGACCAAAATCGCAGATTTTATAAGTTATTTAATACTTGTATTAGCGGTGAATAACATTATTATGATTTGGATACACATTCGCCAATATTTATTTCATATTGTGGTACTATATAATTTATTTAAATTTACTAAGAAATAAAAATAATGTATTAACATCCGTTTTTTAAAAGATTTGGGTTTGCTAGTCGATAGACCAAAGCCGGGATTTGGCAGTACAAGTAATCAAACACAGAGCTCATGAGCTCACGAAAGTAAAGACGTTAATAGCTTCAGAGAATCCAATGCTAGAAAATGTTTATGCTCTCAAAGTGGAGTTTAGTAAATACCACAAAAACTAAAATTGAAAATTATTAATCCTGGATGGTGGTTGGGGGGGGTACCCATTTGAATTCATTGTTATTAGGGAAACAAAATGTAGCCATTATGAATAACTTTGCTTTGCTTCTTTGTTACGATACACTGCACATCGAGTGCAATAAAAGTGAACAATTGTTTTTTTTATTGCTTTGAACGGTATGGTTGTTTTTTATCTACCTTTTGTCCGCATTTTACCTGTTTTTTAATTCGAGGTTTTGTCCACATTCGCATGTGTGTGCCGATCGGACACCACGTGCTGGTGCAATAAAAAATAAACATGTACCGAGCATCCTAAAGTAGTTTTGGTTAGTTTTTCGCTAATCCGACCCCCACTTGCAAGCGTCAATTTTCCAACTGATATATCTATATAAATACAACCATTCGTTCACCAGTTACTGTTTCTGAAATGTCTGCAATTTCAGAGATCTAAGTTTTGGTCTTTATTTGTCAGAAATTTATTGTGACCTGATAAGTAGACAGCTTGATTCAAGCAGACATTTTAGAGGCAGAATTTCGTATACAAGAAGTTTCATAAGAAGATGCTTATCCTTAAGGGTTGGTTCTTAATTGATGATTTTAAGAAAAAAGTTTCTATCAATGTAGGTCCGCTTTTTTTTTTAATATACAGGTTATTGAAAATATAAAAAAAAATTATTGAAACTACCTTTGATATTTTAGTGATTACTTTGGTAGAGGCCCACAGTGTATAGAAATAGCGGCCGGTGGCGCTGGGATACGGTACACCTCAAATGAACCGCATGAACTTGAAAAAAGTTTACACGGTGCGAAAAGGATCCAATTACGATTTATTTAACTTTTAGTTAAATTCTAATGATTAAATAAGATTTTTATTTATTTTTATCGTCATCGGACGACATAAAGTCAAGAGATCATTTCCACTAAAAAATGAATCGCGATTTTAAAAATGTAATTTATTTTTGAAAAAACACAATGTATATAAAAAATAAAGCACTTGCGGACCTAAATTGATATTAACTCTGTTTTCATAAAATCATCAAATGATTAAGGAACAGCACCTTATTATAAAACAACCTCTAGTCATAATCTATATTTTTGCATTTACATCTTGGGCACGTCTACCCTTAACTTTTGGCAACATTGGAATTTTAAATCGAACAGTAAATACAAATTTCAATAAAATATCTAAAGCAGTTGCAATGAAAATAGAGAAAACCCGTTTTTTTATTTAAAAGTCCCGTATATAAAAAATAAAGCGGATCTACATAAAAGGATTAGGGATCAGCATCTTATTATGAAACACCCTGTATATTCATAATCTACATGTTTGCATTTTATTTTATTAAATTTTTTTAATATTTATTTTATTATAAGCAACTTGTGTCAACATTGGAATTTTAAATCGAACAGTCTATACAAATTTCAATAAAATATCTAATACAATGAAAATAGAGAAAACTCGTTTTTTTATTTAACAGTCCTGTATATAAAAAATAAAGCGGATCTACATTGATAAAAAATTTTTTCTTAACATCATAAAAGGATTAAGGATCAGCATCTTATTATGAAACACCCTGTATATTCATAATCTATATGTTTGCATTTAATTTTATTTAATTTTATTTAATATTTATTTTATTATAAGCAACTTGTGTCCCTATAGATTGTTTAAAAAATAATTACGTAAATAAAATTTAACGTTTATGTCAATAAGGGAAAACTATATACCGTTTGTTGGGTTAGACAATATAAAGGAAGTTCACCCTCTTGATTTTAAACACTAATGGAATTTTGACGTTTGTATGTATTTAAAAACACAAGACAAGGTTATTACATAATATACTCTTATAATTCTCTTATATGTAGCATTGTAGCATATGACATTTTAAAAAATGTCATACATTTTCGGGGGAAAAGATTATTTATTTATTTGGGACAGTCTTCAACCACTTTTTACCACTATGTAATATGGTCCCTCGTACTAAACGAAGCGTAGCTTCATAAACAAAGCTACAATAATTTAAACAAAAACTCCATCTCCGCTGCCATTGATCACTAATGCTTCATTTTCCGATGAGCTATTCTATTTGTTATTGATAAAAAATAAACTTTGAAAAATGATTTAAACAATTTAAAATCGATGTTTCATCATTTTTGTTTTATAATATATTACTGTAATAATCACATAGCTTTTAAAGATATAGAGGCCGATGCCGATAATACACGAACTTGAACCAACTATGAAAAAATTATTGTGTGAAAAAAATTTAATATTTTAATAAAAAAATTAACACTGAAGAAGAACCATTGCCCGACGATTCTCAGTATTGCAAATTAGCTATACTCATAAAATCTACCCTAAATCAAATCAATCGCAAAAACTTTTCACTATTACTTTTTTTGAAGCTGTAAAAAACAATTGCTTATGGAGGGCGCGATCTACAGACTAAAATAAAAACTAACCAGCACCTTCGAAATTATTTTTGGAACAGGCCAAAGGGAATTTTGAACAAGCCCAAATTTATTCGAATAGAATAAAAACTATTAATACGAACGTTTTCCACGTGAATTTTATGAAATTATATCCGATTTTTGACTACACAATTTGAAATAAACGAAGTTAAGTATGTGCGTCTTTATAAGAAATTTTTACAAGATTTACAACAACTTTAAGCTGAAATATGACATATAAAACATAAGACCAAACTAATATTGACGATATTAAATAATTACCAAACTACTTATTCGCATGTTACTACATCGCTTTAAAGAAAATAGAAAAATATTTCAAAAATCAAAAAATAATTGAGTGTATTGAAAAATTAGTCTTATCAAAATATGCCCAGGCTTTTTAATATAACCAGAGTACTAACTAAAACATCGGCCCCGCAAAATACCATAATAACACTCTCATTATATTAAATAGCAGGCGTATTAATAAGATAGATTTTACAATAAGGCATTCCTCACGGTATTATTGATACATGATAGAAAGGATCTCTTTTGAAAATAAATCGTCCTTTTAATCAAAACTAAAACATTCTGTTACGTATACTAAAACTGTAACTGTAACTAAAAAAAAATAATTCAGTTGATAGAGTCAAATAGAGAAAAAATTTGGTACCATTTAAAGGATTTCAATAACAATTATATTATTATACCTATAATTATATTAAACTTAGTATGTCTGATTCTAAATTCCGAAGAAATATTGAATGCACACTTTGCCATAAAATTTTGAAAACTATATAATCAAATTTCAAATAGATATTATAATTAGACCTTCTAAAATCGATTCCACCTAAAAAACTCAACCAATTTAAAAGCTCAAAAATCTAATATGTCCACAACAAAAAAATTCATTATGGTAAACAAGGAGTTATCACTAAAATGCAAAACTCACAATAGCGCAGTGCCACCACTACTTTGGTGTCGGATTTGGATTTCCCGAAGATTCGTAAAATATTTTACATAAATTCATCTGCAGAAGCTGAATATTTTCATAGGAAATTAGGGAATTAAAGTTTATTAATATTATAGTCGTTTATTTATAAAATAGTCTTGGTTAAGGCAATATCAAAAAGTTAAATCCTTGCACAAATATAACAAAAGGTATGCCATTGGTTGGGTAATGCATTTTTCTTGCCAGAAAATTGTGGAACAGTCTCACCTGATTTGACAATTTGGGTAATGAACTAATTTTATACCTACGACCTTGAACGAAATCGAAGTTGAGAAAATAAATGATCAGTTTTCACTGGAGCTTATAAAACAAACGAAAAATTAGTCAAGACGAAATAGATAGATAGTGAGGTTGTTCAGATAAAATTTTAGCCGCATTAATTCATGTTATACTGTCTATTTAAATTAAAATATAACACCAAAAACCCGGTTTGGTATTTCTCAAACAGCCATTGGTTTCTAATTACTCTAAAATAGAATGCACCGCTTTCAGCTTACACCACTTTAAAGGCAACAAACAATAAGCATCTTACCTCTATTGTCATAATGATCTATTCGCCACTTACCTTCAATTTATATCCAAACAGTATTAATCTCACATATTTTAATGATTTTCGAATATAAATCCAACATCAAACACTAACACCAAACTTTTAACATCTTTAATGAATACCATAACACATACAAACCAAAGTCTACCAAAATGTACCATCAAACCATAACAAAAATAAAATTCACCTTCCACCAGCGCTCTCTACAAAATACCAAGGTTAGTGTTAGGTCAGTTTTTTATCGTCTAAGACCATGGATTAAAATAAAGAAAAGTACTACATCCGCTCAGATGGGCTAAGCTACCAAGATCATTCGCCCAGTATTCGGCATTCATTAAAAAATCATTAATCAAGATACCAAATAAATAAGATTGAGTGTTTAATGTACACATAAGGATTATTTGCGTTTATAGATTTGCTTAATACTCTGTTATTAATTGTTAAAAATTGTTTATGTATCTTTACAACCTTCCCAAGGATGGTAACGAAACAAAATAGTTACTTTCTATTAGCGCTGTGCAACTCCTGATTAGGATACACAATGTTACAAAAAAAATTCTTTATAATTTATGTTACAATATTATGATTGAAACAAAGCTCAATTGTATTATATCGACACTCATACATTTTATTATTACTGAAATGATCTTGATTGCTGAAGGCTCAATCCAGTAGCTTTTTGGTGAATTCGCCAGATGACATCTTAACAGGAATGCAAAAAGATCGTTGCTGGTAACTTATCCCACTCGTAGATAGTATTTCCGTTGCACTACTATGATCGAATGTTACGTTTACGTAATATAAGTTAGCATATTTTATTAAAATGAACAATTATATCAAACTGCTACGGAAATAAAAACATAACCTTCAAACCTCTTTATAAAATCGCTTTATGAACCTCCCGTTACACTTATCAGTGTTTATATATATATATATATATATATATATATATATATATATATATATATATATATATATTCTCACGTATTGATTCACGGATGGAAAAATGTGATGACACTATATTCCGGGATATCATCCGTTCGCTCGTTGAACTCCGACTGGAATCCTGCATCCGACTGGAATCCTGCAGACGTTTCGCCAAAATCTCACTTGGCATCTTCAATGCTCGCGCTCCGAAAACACTTCGAACAACGAGCGAACGGATGATATCCCGGAATATAGTGTCATCATATATATATATATATATATATATATATATATATATATATATATATATATATATATATATATATATATATATATATATATATATGTCTTCCAGACCAAAAGGCTAGCTTGCGAAAAAAGCAGATGGCAAAGACTTTTTACAAACCGGTTATTTTAACAGAACCACCCGTTTTCACAAAGCTATAATTCCTATTCCCAAGAAAAGTAGCCGAGACTTGTTAAATGTTTGACTGAAAACTGAAGTCAACAACACAATAACAAAAACTAACCAAATGCTTTTGTGTGGAAATAAGCAAATATTTGGTTAGTTTCCGTATTTCTATTGTTGAGTTAATAGAATGGTTTGAAACAGGTCAAGCTACCATTTGGCAATAACGGATCACAGTCTAACATTTAACTCCTGTTCGCTGCCGCAGTCGAACGTCACCAAATTTACGATCTTCTTATTAATGCAGATGGATGGAAAAACGGATTATTCCACATGTACTGAAATTTATTATTAAGATCTAAACATTTTCTTTAGAAATAAAATGAAAAACTAACCAAACCCTGTTTTAGATTAGATAGAAATGACGTCACAGATGTATTATAAAATCTTAAATTTAACTTTCAAAAGTTCAAAGTTTAAATTGCCTCTTTGAAGCAACTCATTCCAGAAAGAAGGGATTTGAAAGTCTATTAAACAAAACACACAATTTTTTATCCAAGGGCATTTGAATATCTAATTGTTGAAGAAGGCATGGGTTAAAAATTGTTTATTATTAGGTTCTTCCAATTTTGATTCGGCGTCAGTAATATCGTTCTGGATCGCTTTAATCAGTTCGTCTAAGGAACCAAAGTCTCTCTCTGGTCGTAAATAACCTAGAATTACGACACTTAATTGCTTTCCATAGAAGTCGTCATCATAATTGTGAATGATATGTGTTTCCATTGACTTTTGGTTATTTTTAAAGAACGGATTCCATCCGATACTCATAACCATTTTTTGTACTTCGTCGGATTCGACTTTCGCAAAGCCATAGTAAACTCCGGTCGGCAGATCGTCAGCGAGGCTATTGACTACTTCAACAGAAAAATTTGCCGTAGGGATGCCTAATTGTTTAGATCCTCTGCCGAATCCTTTCACGACCTCCCCTTTAACGAATGTAGGAAAGTTCTTACTTGTCATTGCTTTTATTGCAAAAAAAATAACTGCGTGTTTAGACGCCTGCGCTGCCGTAACCTACAATACCGGCCAAGATATTTGCATATACAGTTTATGCACCAAGTTGTGTGATTGATAAAAAATACTTACCCTCAAAAATGCTTGGCGTCGCTGATAAGAACGTAAGTGATATAACTTTTATTAAAGCAAAACTATCTTATTAAGGCAGAGGTTATCATTTAACTATAAGGCAAATCGCATTTACGTCCTTCTGATGACCTCTGCAGCTCACCGGTTGGTCTGAATACGTAATTGTTATAACGATAGTGGTTATTTTATGAAACAATTCCCCCTAATAAAGATGTTATCCTTTCGATAACAAAAATACGTACCTGCTTATCTAATTTTCTGGATTTTATTTAATAATTTTGTTCCATAATTTCAATGAAAAATCCAATATTTGTCTAAAAATCTGGTCTTTTGAATAAGCTGTTGATGATAATTGTCTCAATTAAGAGAATGAAATTTGCGGCATTTCTGTTATTTTGGAACTTTCAGAGCACCAGGATTCGAGGAAAGACAACTTGTTTATAGTGTATGAAAACATGATAGGTAGGTAATTGTAGTTTTGTTCATATCCATTTTTTTTTCTTCACATCAAAATTACGTAAATGTCTATAACAGTAATTTGTAAAATCGTATGTTGTTTTTTTTTGGTGTAACTTAGAAATTTCGTAAATGTAAGATAAATATTGTTTTGCATAAATAATCATCACTACTAGTAAGGAAAAAGGTACAAATGTTGGATTGAATTATTTGCTGTAGAGGATGGGGGATCAGAAATATTACATTACATTTTAGGGCAATTCCTATGCAATTGTGTTTTTGGCAGGGTTGTTTTATTCCTAATTATCTTTAAAAAACTAAATAAACGATACCGGTTCCATCTCGTGAAGGTTTTTACGTGGTTTAGAATTTTTTTGTTGATATACAATACGATTAGTTGAATATTTATGTTTTATATTGTTTCGGCAGCCATCAGAGCCTTATCATAAGTAGCTTAATATCGTAAATATTCCACGCTTCTGCCAGTATCACTTTTGTTGATGTACGTAATAGTGGCTACATAGTGGACCGAAACCCGCAATGGCAACTTTACTAGAACGAGTACGTATTTTGTGAATATTTTCAGGAGTAAGTAGGTGATATTTTTCGACAGGGATGTGATAATTCTGCCATTCTCTCGATGCACATTACTATTATAAACTATATCAATAAAATATTTGTTCAATGTTGCTGCGATAAATATACTCATACGTCGCAAAATAATTGTAATTTCTATGTGCAATTTCTGTTAGTAATCTCAATATTCGCAAATAGGTACGTGTTAATTATTTGTGTTTAATCGGTGGGTGCTGATAAAATCGCTATTTATTATACCAATAACTTACCTATAGGCATTTTTTCGGAAATATACCGTGGTCGCGTTATTCTCATTGATATATACAGAGTGGCTATTTTTATTTGTCTGTCATACCTTGAGAACATAGAGATTTAAAAAACAAGTTAAATTCAGATCAAGCATTTTGTTTATTATATATTGTTAACTCTTGAGCATTGGACTTTTCAACAAACCTAAATCTTTAAAAAACAAATTGAGTTGAAAAACATCATCATGCACTCTACTTTTTTTTGGTTTTCGAAAACTGTCGCAATTAAATTATTGAAATGGAATCCCAATATTCTAATAATCATATTCCAGTTTAAACATTATTAAATATTTACTTACTTGCAAATGTATACATGTATACTAAAATAATGTGATTTTTTGAAAAACTTGATTTTATTTAGGAAACCACCATTTAGGTATAGTAACATAGCATGCTAAATATAATATTTTTATTTGTCTTCCAGAATAGTTGATAAAAACCAGTATTTTCTGTTTAATAATACAGTAAATAGCAATTAAGCTCTATATTATTCAACCCTCTTAACCCCCAAAATTTCAGCTTCTTACGAATTCAAACATGATGACAATGAACTTTTTATTGGAACTCATTTGAACACAAAATAATTAATTTCTGGAAAACTACTAATTATACAAACTCTCACGACTAGTTTTACTAATAATGTCCTACAACGATCGATCAGAAACAAGCATGATACCACAACGTACGAGATATTGTCAAGTGCCAAAGCATTTTCGAACGTGATTGCGTGACAAAAATGTATAGTCACTAGTCTGATCATGACTTTTGCGCGTAATTTCATTTGAACTCTTGGTATTATAACTGTTACGGGTATTAACGTAATTTGCGTATATTAAGGAATCAAATAACTTTTATTGAAAATTTGTTTTCATTTTATATGCGGAGCATACGATACTTAAATATATCATACATTTTTTAACACGCGATAATACAGTCAAATATTCTTAGTATTTATAGCGAAAAATATTTATTATGCTTCACCTTCACATTGTTGATATTAATCCATAGTTTTCTTTACTATTACTAATTTACTAATTTATATTGTAGCAGCAGATTTAATGATAATAAACTAGCCTAGAGCTCTGTTAAAAATTGCATAAAGAATAAACATTAGCGAATAAATATACAGGGTGTTAGAAAGACGATATTTAATTTATTTTCTGTTAAAGCCACTTTAGTCGCCTAATAAAAAAAACTAGTAGTTCAATAAATTAACTAACCTTGTAGCTTCAATTATTTAAAAGCGATAGTGCTTGAGTTTCCTCGCACTGTATAAACTTTCTTCTATGATATCGCATGGTCGACGAAATAAAAATTGTCCCTACAGGCTCCGTATTTTAAGAGACTAATCAAATGTATCAAAGTCTTAATTATAAATCATTAGCCATTAATTCATTGCAGTACCCTTGATTTATATAGACATGTTATCCAAAATCACGAGCATTGTTGCCTATATATCTTAGTTTTTTTTCCAAACAAGGTACCAGGAAGATCTCTGCTTTAATTTACTTAATGTATAAGAAGAAATTGGGGCACATTTCGTTTGTCAGCTTATTGGCTTTATGATCGGTAGGATTAAATCAAAAAATATTTAATTACACTTTTAATAACTCATTTTGAAATGTTAACAACGAAAATTCACTAAATATAATTAAATCAACTAAAATTAGTGACAAAAATGTTAGAACGCGATGGTTAGCGCTTGGACGACTTAAATAAATTACTTTTGGATTAAGTGGTTGGTTTGAATTTATAATATTTTTATGAATCACTATGTTTGACACCCAATCATGCCGGTTTGTGCAAAGAGCACATTGGCATGTAGGTCATATATGTATGTGACACCTTAAGTCCTTTGTGTCTAGTGATTAGGGATGTCTAAAAAATTCTTTTATTTATTTATATTAGTCCCAGTTAATAATAATCCGAGTGCACTGCTTTAAAACTTTGTCATTAACAAATAGATCATTCAGAACAGCTGAGCGATAGGGACGCTGGACAGGGATATAGAACTGAAAATCCAAATAAAAACACACAAATTTTACTTTATCACTAAGAAGGTATTTTTTTTAATGAAAATTGATAAAAACTAAAAAAATTGAAAAAAGCTAAAAAGGAAAAATATGGAAAAACGTCTTGACAACACGATTTGATTTGTGTCATTGTTAATGTGTGATTGGATGATACTTGGACGTTTTGCTACTTTGATCCAACACGTTTCCAAAAATTTGTCAAACTTTGCTTTATTGTTAATCCTTCTGAATTTACAGAACGCTCGAGAAAATTCATCCGCCTCATTCATTAATTAAAAAAAAATAATTGAAAAGATAATAACTAACAAAAGTGACCAACTCACCTTTATTGGTGTATCCTGCATGTATACTGAGAGAAATTTCATTCGCAGCGTGCATTGGACAAAAGTGGTCCATTTTGCCTCTTTCACCAAAAAAGAACGAAATTAATGAAATTATGCAGCCAAAAGTATTTATTGCTGTTGCTAATAGGTTTTTTTTATCAATTTTCATACAAAACGTTTACTCTCTGAGTGATATAAAATATCACAGGGATTATTGCTTAATTGGAGCCTATATAAACAATCTGTTAAAGAATTTTTGAAAAATCTCTGATATTAGCAATAGGTATACCAAACGCACATGCGCATGTATATTTTTCCCTATTTCTAAAAATCAACGTATTTTGAAATTAGGTCAAAGGTCATGCGAGAAGCGGCAGCGACTCCAAACAGTTTCTCGAAGCGACCAAAAGGGACGCCCTTTTGCTCCTACAAAAGGAACTCGACAAACTTCTAGATACTGCATCGCCTATGCACAAAGATCGCGTTCAAAAAGAATTTCAAGGGTTTACCAATTTGTTTGAAAGGTGTGTGATAAGCTATATAAAGAACTGTTAGTATTTTCGCGGCGTATGTCATAGTTTTGTGTCTTTATTCAAACAAATTTTTTGTTCACATCTGATAAGAACTTGACTAAACCCAGCAAAATATTAGGAAATTTATCGATAAATATTCTAGGTAACGACAATATTTTCAGTTTTTAAGTTTCTGTGTTCTGAGGAAAAAAATTGTTACTCTATCTTTAAAGTCACCGAAAATATTATGGTTTCCAGCATTAAAAATCATTTCCTCTTTTTTTATTTTGCATCAGAAAGAAAAAAATTGTTACACCACTATTTTTTGTTGAGTAAATAGAGTGAAATTTGAAAAATTTCAAAACTGAATCAGATTTTGAAGTCATGAAAATATTTTTATGTCATCGCAACAATTGAGAAACTGAGTGTCCCTTCTAATTTTTGTTAACTTTCGGTGCTCTCAGCAAGGAAGCATAAGTGGACGTGAGTTGGTAATAGTAGTAAACTGAGGTGTATTTCTTGGTTTTCTAAATATGGAATATATTAATAATCAAATAAAAAATCCGATCAAAATGAATTAAGTATATTCAACTCATTTTGCAGGTTCTTACAGGAAAGTGGTCCCTCTGTTGATTGGAATAAAATAGAAAAATTGCCGCAAGATGCCATCAAAGATTACGGCTCCCTCGAGACTCCTACAGCCGATATTTTGCACGTAATGCTCAATAAACTCGTTGTGGTAAAGTTAAATGGTGGTTTAGGTACATCTATGGGTTGTCACGGTCCGAAATCTGTAATTAATGTTAGAAACAACCTGACATTCCTAGATTTGACGGTACAACAAATCGAGGTAAGCAACATATGTGTTCGAATTTGGATAAAATATACACCATTTTTTGTTACCTTATCCCGCCCAGCAGGACGAGTATGGTCGCCACGGAATTTCTTATTTTGACAGACTGTTATCTGCCATTCCTATAACAACCCAGTGTTACCATATAGTTGAAAAATACTTTCTTGAACTATTTTATGTTAATTTGGATAAATGAGTTCTCAGTAATAATAGGTGGACTAAATACTAAAACGTAGCTATTTAGTCAATTTATCTGGTATGTGACACTTTGTTTATAAATAAACTGGCACTGACTTCAAACAATTTTTAGTCATTATTAACAAAAAGAAAACATCTAAGTTAGTTAAAATTGGATTGCCCTTATCATATTTTCAATTTTTAACATCCGGAGGTATCGGCAATTTGATCCGATATGCTTTACAGCATGCATATTGTCTAAAATAATTTAGAAACAAAAACGACGCCGATAGATGGAAGAGATAACTTTTTAGTGTTTTCTGTATTGAAAACAATAAATTAGTGATTTTGTAGCAACAACCATTTGTAGCTCTTGAAAAAAATTTAGGAGTGAAATAGACGTAAGGTTTGACATTATAGGATTGACTAGTTTTGTGATTTGTGGCAAAAGCGCGACACCCGAATTACTTTTTTCTACTCACTACTCTAAAATAAATATGTCATTTTAACAGATGTTCACCAAACACTGTCGTCGGGCACTGATGATATTTTAACGTTTGTCAGTTCTCATGATCACATCACACGTCATTCAATGAATGTACAGTCGTAAAAAAAGTATGGTATGCCAAACTCCGTCTCTGAGAGACTTATGACATACCCTGTATATCATAAGTCTCCTAAACTTAACCAAAACTAACTGGCCTTATTACATATAAACAACTCTTATGTGTGAATCCTGACTTTCATTTTTCTTTAAGCACTTAAACAAAACTTATAAGGTAAATGTGCCGCTGGTCCTGATGAATTCGTTCAACACGGACGAAGATACGGAAAAGGTTGTAAGGAAGTACAAAAATTTGCAAATTCAGATTCACACTTTCAATCAATCCTGTTATCCGCGTATTAACAGGGACACTCTAATGCCTGTGGCCAAAAATTGTGAAGTTCATAAGAATATAGAAGCGTGGTTTCCTCCCGGTCACGGCGATTTTTACAGGTAAGAGTAAGTATATCGATTAAGTCATTTTAAATTTCGACAATAATATAGCCGCTTACCATTCACCAAGTACTTTGCACCTTGGAAGCAACAAAGTTACGACATTTTAAGGAATTGATATCAAAAGTGTTACGGTATTCCTACGGTGGCTCAGAGTGTTTAGGGTATATGGGCGTTTAGGTCAAGTATCCTAACTGGGCTTGATTGTGATGGTTTATATTAAGAAATCTAAACCATATTTTCAGTTTTGTTAGAAAGGTCCTTGGTTTTGGTTAGTTTTAACATATTAACTACCTATAAAGTGTTCCGTTAAATGTGACTCTTGTATCTTGTTTCAATATTGGTAAGAATTTCCTAAACTCTGCTACATTTTGTTGATGTTTTAGATTTTGATTTAGATTTGAGAGTATGAAGCAATAAACAAAAAGGTGCAAAACTCCTCAAATCGATTTTACCTATCTTGAGAAAATAGTTGAATGAATACAAAAAATATCAAATAATTTTAATTATACTTTAATTTTATTTATTAATTTGCTTACTATTATTAGTGGTAGTCGTTGTGAATAAACAAACTTTTCACATAATTAACTACTTTATTGTATTTCCCGCGAAAAAGGAAACAACATTTTTAATCGCCTCATGTCATAACTTCTGACTATTTATTTATTGACACCTGCCTTCTTGATTACTTATTTGCATTTATTAAACTATATTGAGCAAGCCTACGCAATCTAAAAGGGTTACATCGAATGTTGATATTGTTAATGTTGTTCATTGTTCGCGCCTCGCTACAGGTGCTTAGTGCTTATATTAGTACATCGCAACACGAAACTCTTTGACAAATATGACACCAGCGTATCATTTCTTATAGTCTCGGTATATCCTTGATACACTAGAAGTTTAATCTAGGGTGTCTATTCGCGTAATCACGTAATTAATAACTGTCTAAGATCGAAGAATAATTCTTAATATTCATAAGAAAGAATCAGCTTCAGGCACTTCCATATAACCCGTCTCAGTGTTATCGTTGAGGCACCCATGTTATTATAGTTTTAGTTAACCACCTCTTGAAAAATAAAGAAAATACGGTAGAAAAAGTAATTGAAAAAAACATAGAACTTTTTTTCAATTATATTTTTCTTTAGTTAATTAGTTATTTTACGCTATTTGCAGACAACCCCGGATATATAGTATATTGCAATTATTATGCATTGTTTGAAGTTTGAAGTATATTTTAGGAGTTTCCAGAGTTCAGGGTTACTTACAAAGTTTATTCAAGAAGGACGGGATTATTGTTTTATATCCAACATCGATAACTTAGGAGCAACTGTAGATCTAAACATTTTGAATTTGTTGATGAACCCCACAGAAAAGGAACACGAATTTGTAATGGAAGTTACTGATAAAACAAGAGCGGACGTTAAAGTATGTACATTAATTAAGTAAACCGCGTTTTATGAGTAATGGTTAATTATTTCGTGTAGGGTGGTACTCTGATACAATATGAAGAGAAATTAAGGCTGCTAGAGTTAGCTCAAGTACCCAAAGAGCATGTGGACGATTTCAAATCGGTTAAGAAATTTAACTTTTTCAACACTAACAATCTGTGGATCAAATTACCCGGTAGGTAAAAATAAAAAATCAATACGAATAATATGTCTGGAAACTGGAACCTGTGTCTGGAGAAGATTCCAACCACCACATTAATTATAATACATAATTTTATATACAATCATTTTTATATGAACAATTAAAAATTAGAAATTTAAAATTAATAATTTAATCGAAAAAATAACTCCTTTGCAAGTTTCGTTAAATTTTAGATTTTGATTACATGTACAGGTGTTCAAATATATATATATATATATATATATATATATATATATATATATATATATATATATATATATATATATATATGCATTTCATTTCATTTCATGACTAACACTTTAAAAAGCTTCTCTTATCCTCTGTTTGATATTGTCTTTTGTTGTGGAAGCAGTTTTATACACCTGGTCTTTAACATATCCCTACAGAAAATAGTCCATCTTTGTTACATCAGGGGATCTAGGTGGTTATCTAATCGGACCACCTTTTCGTAGCCATTATTTACGAAATAAATTATTTAAGTAACTTGGAACTTGATTGGTATGGTGTGCAGGAGTTCTTTTGAAATGGCTCTTAACATATTTTGCAACCTCTGCTCGAAGAAAGTCTCAGTGTACTTGCGTATTCACTGTATTTTCAAAAAAATAAGGCGTTACAACGTTAACATTATGGAATGTCGATTCATTAAAAAAATCATCTCGCTCAAAACTTCTTTCTTGTGCCCCCATTCACAAAATATTGCTCTAATTTGATAATCATTTTCATTGGATTGTTGAGTTAGAAATTATTAAGTTTTGGGACATTTGTCGTACATTTGTGGATTTTCTCTGTAATACTTGAAATTAATTTTCCTCATTCACTACAAGAGTGGTCGCCAACCTCTTAAATGTGTTGAGCTACTTTGTTAATTTTCTAATAAACCGTGAGCTACCCCTATGACATTCCTATGACAATTAGATTTTTTTTGTGGAATTTTGAAGCTTCTCTGATTTTTGCAGTTTGTATTATTAAAATTAAATTCGTTGTGAGACCGACCAGAATTGCCTCCGCGAGCTACCGGTAGCTCGCAATCGACAGGTTGGCGACTCTTTTGTTCTTTCCATACGCAAAACTTCCAGTTCGAGTAAAACGATTCTTCAAATGTTCAAGAGTTGTTTTAGAGGGCTGCCTTCTATCGGCATACTGTTCCTCGTAAATTTTCGTAGCTTCTTTCTTCAAAAAATTCATGGTTGAGTTACAAGTTAAACAAGTAACAACAAATTAATTGAGAAAACTTATAGAAAATTGACAGGTTTGACGCGATCTAAAAAACATTATTTTATAGTTCAATAATATTTTGGGCTTTAAGATTAAGATAAAATTACGAATTTCTAAATTAATGGCAAGAAAGAATATATTTTTTTCTCAAAATTAAAAATTTACCTATTTATTTTTATTTTTGTTAACTTATTTCGATATTTTCTCATAATTTCTGAGCTTTATTCATAAAAATGTATCTCATAAGTTTAGGAGAATGCTTAATAAAATCGAAAGAGCATTAATAGGAGTAATTCATGGGAGAATGATATACAGGGTCTTCCATTTGTATAAACGGTTCGAATTAACTTTAAGACAAATATAGGATAAATGACTGTACTACTTTATAAAATTGTTGGCATAAAATTACAGCTCTCGGAAATCGCGTCAAAAATGTAAAGTGTAAACCCTGCATATTTGAAAACAATTTTAATTTTTTTCTTTTAGTCTTATCTATAATTTTTGTACTTAACATTTCATTTCTAAAACAAATAATAAATGAGATTTACACACTATTTAATTTCATATCTCGGTTTCAACCAATAAGTTCAGTTAAATCAACCAATAGTATCTACCAGTGTTCAACAACTAACGGCACTGCTGACATTTTGTCAATCTGACACATCAGTTGGGATGTACTCTTCTTATGGCATTATTTTTTCAAATTGGACGAACTGAGATGATTTTTTATATGTTTCTGGTTCAAGGATGCAAAATATGATAAATTATGCGCATCAGTTAAATATAGTAAAACCAAGTGTTTTTTTTATTTTCAAAGAAACTTTCACAAGTTACTGTGGCTATGAAAATGTACTTTTGTTTTTGGGCTCGTCAAATTGCGGTAGAAAAAAATATAAAAACGAAATCTTCAATTTTTGGTTTTCTCGAATATCTCCGGAAGTAGTCCTAAGTTTAAAAGTTTCTTGAATTATCCTGTATACAAATCTAATTGCTGCTAATAGCTATTTTCGTGGAGTCAATCCCGAACCTATTCTAAATGTAACCAGAATAAGTGATTGAATTTACCAACGCGCATGCTCATGGTGGAAACAATTTAGGCGTCCGCGAACGTACAGCAAAGTTGAATGTTTAGATACGAATTTGACAAGTAGAAAGCAAATAGCATTTTCTAATAAAATCAATTGAAGAAGAAAAAAAGTTTTACAAGACCATTGATTTTCAATGTAACCTAATGCATTCAAATAAAATATTTTGTAGTTATTTCAATTGTAGTATTTTCAAATGCTCCTTCAACTTCCCAGTTGAAGGAGCATTTAACGGAAACAGGTTGGGATCTGAATTTTCTGGATTGCATGCATAACGTAAAAATATCTAAAATTGAATATATTTTACATTTTCTGAACTATTTATTAGTCTTCTTGCCTTGCCTTAATTTTGGTCGAGTTAGAATGTGTTTTTCTACTGATTCGATTCGAAAAATCAATGCACAGATTTCAGAATCTGTTGAACTTGGTCCTTCATGGGCGAACACAGAATTTTTAATCCAGATACGTAATTTTCTGTGAACAGCCAACTTACTAATGTGCATGCATGCCTTTTGGATCCGCTCCGCGAAAATACCTATTATTATATTACTATTTACGAAACTTCTGGATTCCTCCTGAGAACTTAGTTTCATCGAAGCTCTGAAGAAGCCAACAGGATGATTGGCGAAACGTTAGCAAGTTCGACTCAACAGCAACAACTGACGCCGGAAGAATCCAGAAGTTTCGCAAATAGTATTACAGTAGCTTGTGGAAGTTTCTTTGAAAAATTACATATTATTATACTATTCAGTTGCGTTCCCAAAACTGCGCAGTGTAGCCAGCAGAGTAGGAGCTGTCGATAGAGGCTCGATTCCCATCGGTTAACAAAATATTTCTTGCGACACGACATATTTCTGTGAGATTTTACTGTTGCGCAGGCTCGTATTCCGAATGCGTTATCAATCCGCTCCGCGAAAATACCTAATATCAAATTGCCCGACACTAATACCTTATTTAAATGAGTTTTTATTACATAGCAAATAACATAAAAAATTTGCCGAAATAACTGAAGAATTAGACTAGTCCCTTATCTCAAAACAGTGGCACATGAGTCATCAATATTCTTTCCAGCCATTGAACGAGTTCTGAGAGAAGATAGCCTGAATCTCGAAATAATCGTAAACAACAAGACTCTGGTGAATGGATTGAACGTTATTCAGCTGGAGACTGCCGTCGGTGCAGCCATGAAATCGTTCAACGGAGGTATCGGTGTGAACGTTCCCAGGTCTCGTTTCTTGCCGGTAAAGAAAACGTCGGATCTGTTACTCGTCATGAGCAACCTGTACAACCTCAAGAACGGTTCGCTGGTGATGTCACCGCAGAGGATGTTTCCTACTACACCCCTAGTCAAGCTCGGAGATAATCACTTCGCCAAGGTTAAAGAATTTTTGTATAGATTCGAAAACATACCGGATATGATTGACTTGGATCATTTGACTGTGTCCGGAGATGTTACTTTCGGCAGAGGGATTACGCTTAGGGTATCTATATCGCCGCCTTTATTTTAGTTCTTGCTTGAATATTTTAATTTTAGGGTACTGTAATTATTATTGCCAATCACGGAGATAGAATAGATATTCCTTCGGGTGCGTGTTTAGAAAACAAAATCGTATCCGGAAACCTTCGCATATTAGACCACTAATTTTTTTGTTATATCGGTTCCAATTAAAATTGTAATCATTAAATTTTGTGAATTATTATTGTGCTGTTTTATTTAATTATATTTTCTTCCTTATACCTATAGAAATTGAAGCATCAATAAGTAATTTAAAGACCAAAATAATCTTCTTTTTCAAGAGATTAAAGTTATTTTTTAAATTTGAAAAAGTGGATGTTATCATGTCCGAGACTTAGAATAAGGGTTTAACTATAAAATTATTTCTATGTCTAGCACAAGGTCAACACACTGTATATTATTTTGTTCATTGCCCATATTAAGAAGATGTGTTCAAATAATCCACCCCTTGGCTGAAGACATAATTTGCACTATTTAGCTACACAACCCAACATCATTAAAGATTGCCTGCTTGCAATGCCTGCTGCTCCACGTAGTAAAGTCTACCATATACATTTTTATATCCCATTATCAGTTGTACAGTTTTCTAGTTGCTTGTCCAAATATATAAAGCAACCAAATAAAAAAGAGAACTAGTTGGCAAATTAATAAAATATTTTTTATTTCATAAAATGAGGATCCATATATTCAAAACAAAGACTTTGTCGCTATTTAACATAAATGACAAGACAATGGAATGACTCGGTGAGACTTGGGTTTACCTAACGGTCTTTATTAAAATTTGAGCATCTAGACTTCTTAAAATCTCATATTGATGGTTCACATGTTTATTGCACCCATATTCCTAGTTTAAAAAAGAAATAAGATTGGAAGCTTTTTATTGAGTCATTCCAGAGAAGCCTTCAAGCTGTTCCTTTGCACGACAGAAATATTCTTGCTTCTATACTGGCCGGGAAGTAGTGTTTCAGAAAATTAAATTCTAGGACTATAGATCAGTGATTTGATTGACTTAAAAATTGTAGAAACAGATAGTAATATTAATCCACAGAAAATTCTCTTACCACTGTTGCATATTAAATTAGGACTGATGAAACAGTATGTTAAGCAGAAGAATGTTTTAAGCACTTAAAATTTTATTTAATTATTCTTATCTCATTCTGACTGTGTAGACTTGTATATCATATTTTGTAATGTGATTTTACGAATGTGGATGCTGTAAACGCAATTTATATAGCTCAACCAAGACTTGAGGTCCCTCAAATAAAACCACCAACAAAATTAAACAGCTGTTATGTATTTTCATACTTAGGACAAAAATATATAAAAACAAAAGGCTTAAATTACATTTAATAACCGTTCATGGGGAGTCAAAAATGACTCAATATGAATTCTTTTCCCTTTAGTTTCTTAATTGCGAGATTATAAAATGTTTTCTAATGACACTTCCAACTGAATAAATTGATGCATTAAATATGTGCCTTCTTACCCAGAGAAGCTTGCAAGGAATTCAGTTACTAGTTTCTTAAGTTCGGCATCAGTGGCATCTGTAATTTTGCCTTCCTTCGAAATACTTTGCAAAAGGTTCTGGTGACGACTCCTAGTTTGAAAAAATAAAACAAAAACGTAAACGATTCAATACTACAACAAAAATAATTTTGAACTCACTTGATGTGTTCAGAGAACTGCTTCTCAAAAACAGTGATCTTAGAGGGATCAACTTTGTCTAAGTGCCCCCTGACACCGCAATAAATGATCGCTACCTGTTCTTCAATGGCCATAGGGACATACTGGCCCTGCTTCAAAAGTTCAGTTAAACGAACACCCCTGTTCAACAACTGCTGGGTGGCAGCGTCCAAGTCAGAACCAAACTGAGCGAACGCAGCCACTTCACGATATTGAGCCAATTCCAGTTTCATGGAACCTGCTACCTAAATTCCCGACATTTTACGATTAAAACTAGGTTTAAACACTGCATTCACTTTCATTCCTCACCTGCTTCATGGCTTTTGTCTGAGCGGCAGAACCAACTCTTGATACAGACAGACCCACGTTAATTGCAGGACGGATACCTTTGTAGAACAATTCAGTTTCCAAGAAGATCTGCCCGTCAGTAATGGAAATTACATTGGTTGGAATGTAGGCAGATACATCACCAGCTTGGGTCTCAATGACCGGCAAGGCAGTGAGGGAACCACCTCCGTGAGCCTCAGACATTTTCGCGGCACGTTCCAGCAGACGAGAATGAAGGTAAAATACATCACCGGGGTAAGCCTCACGACCTGGTGGACGACGCAACAGCAGAGACATCTAGTAACAGTGATTTTTGATTGAATATAATTATGACGCCTTATAAATCGGTATATATCCCCCAAATGCATTTAAGAGAGCTTAATCGAAGTTAAATTCTTTTCTTTCTGTTCCAGCGATAGACAGGGGGATTGGAAATGATGCTTGGTTTGCTCTACCACTTCAGTTAAATAGAAAATCACTTTGACAATCCAAAATCACATTCTGAATGGTTGCCTTTGAAATGCTTAAGTTAATATGACCTGTTTGCTAACATATTTTTGAACCTTATACCTTATATAGTCTGATGACTTTTGAATATCATTTCTTTTTAAAATGAGAATAGAGTGATAATGAAATTGATAGCTGTTATAGGACTGATATTACATTATATAACTTCAAAATATTTACTTTTGTGTAAATCAAGAAAAAATATATCTATACATTTGTATAATACATTGAACCATACTCAAATGTTTAAACTACAAAATTAGGAATTATCTCATTTTACTTCATTGCAAAAATAATTGATGATTGTCTTGACTCAAAAAAATATGACAACTACGGACTATAAAGAGCTCCTCACTAGTGGTTGTGGTATCAGATGGTCATTGTAATTAGCAGTTGCATATTTTTGCATAATTGCATAATTTCCTGTACTTTGTAAGTATATTACGAATTTTGAGTTCATTACTGTAATTGAGATAGGCATGTTCATCAATGAATATTGTGGGACTAACCTGGCGGTAAGCGACAGCCTGTTTGGAGAGATCGTCGTAGATAATTAATGCATGCTTTCCATTGTCCCTGAAATATTCGCCCATTGCGCATCCAGAATATGGAGCCAAGTATTGCAAGGGGGCGGCATCTGAAGCAGTAGCAGATACAATGATAGTGTAGTTGATGGCACCAGTATCGGTAAGACGCTTCAGAATTTGCGCCACGGTAGATCTCTTTTGGCCAATCGCGACGTAGATGCAGTACAGCTTTTTTTTCTCGTCGTCGCCATCATTGAATCGTTTCTGATTGATGATGGTATCAATAGCCAGAGCGGTTTTTCTATGTTAATGGTTCCTTAATACTCAAATATATGGATATCATTTAAAAATATTACCCAGTTTGACGATCGCCAATGATTAATTCTCGCTGTCCTCTACCAATCGGCACAAGGGAGTCTACAGCCTTAATACCAGTCTGCATAGGTTCTCTCACAGATATTCGTGGGATGATACCAGGAGCTTTAATACCGACTCGGAAACGCTGCTTGGTGTTTAACGGTCCCTTTCCATCAATGGGATTACCTATAAAAAGATAGGTAAACTGAAATCTGTAAATTGATTCAACAAATTTACCCAAAGCATCCACAACACGACCCAAAATAGCATCTCCTACAGGTACATCAACAATAGCTCCAGTTCTTTTCACAATATCACCTTCCTTGATTAGCTTGTCATTACCAAATACTACAACACCAACATTGTCAGGTTCCAAGTTAAGGGCCATCCCCTAAAAAAAAATTAAAGCTTAACATGTATATTTATATGTAAATATAATCCCAAATGTTAAGTTACTACTGTAATCAAACATAGATTCTAATTTAAAAAAAGACCAATTTTATCCTGTAAGAATTATGTTATAGGGCTAATTTGCAATTTCAGAATTTTTATCTTAATAACAAACCTTAAGTCCGGATGAAAATTCCACCATCTCATCAGCCTGAATGTTGTTAAGACCATAAACACGAGCGATACCATCACCAATGCTCAGTACTCGACCAGTTTCGTCCAAATCGGCTTTAGGGGCTGCGCCCAGGATGCGTTCTTCAAGGACCGATGAAATTTCCACACCACGATTAGATGCTGTAGCGTGAATCTTACGGGCTGCAACGGAAACGGCTGGAAACGCCGCTCCAGCGACCTAAAAACATCTCGATTTAAGATGAGCTTTAAAATGACAAGTGGATCACATTTTTCTCGATTACATAACCATTCTTAACTTAAATGTTCTTGCCCTTTAGGAATTATTACGTAATTTAAACTGCAGTTTTGGGTAAACAGCACAAAAAATCAGAACAATGTTGAAGTGTTATATGTCTCTAACAATAAAAAACATTTTTAGAGAATTATGGATGTTATGTCACTACTCCTCAAAACTAACTTGCTGATGGAACACAAATATTGTACTTGGGTAATTCCTACCTGCTGAACATTTTTGGGTAAATTTCTAGCCACGGAAGCGGCTACCCGCACTGAAAGTAAGGACATTTTCGACAAAATCTAATTTTCGTAGCACGGTCCCAACACAGCAAATGCCGAAAATGGACGATGTGGACGAGCGGTATCGCAACTTCTCTCGGATGACGTCTGAATGTGGTGCCATCTAACGATTTGAATATCAGTGTAGCCACATGTTTAAAATTTGTTTTTTCCAATGACAATTATTCATCGTTCATTGTCTTAATTTTTGACGCTGCGATTAAGGCAACGACAGCACATTATTTATATATTTGTGACAGATCGGACAATAACAACTACATTCGCAGCAAAAGTCCATGGCTCTGAGTAGTTTTCGAACCGATAATTATGATCATTACTGATTTTTATGCTGTCATGTGCATTAGTCACAGTGCACGTTGAGGATTAACCGCAAAACAGGAAGGTAGCCCCAAGGATCGCGTAGTTCCAATTAATGTAGCTTATGAAAATATTTGTTCTGACCAAACTATACGTGGTGGGTCAGTGCTCGTTGCAGTTAAAAATCGTCGACGTTTGTCGGCTGTGGGCCAATGAGTCTTGCAGTCTATCCAAAGGTTTAGTGCAAGTGCGTGCCTTTCCCGTGACGTCACCTTTCCTGCGGGAATAGTATATTATGCAACAAGTGCGGTAAACGGCATTTGACTCACGAGTTTTTAATAAACGAGCAAGTTAAAAAGTTTACCGAACGTGTTACATACTAAACTTTTTATACGACCGTTAGTTTTTAAGTACATTTTCGCAAAACAACACGAATACATTCACTGACATGACCGTCAGAATTGACAAACGTGAAAATTCAAAGCGTGGGAAATATCCCCGAAAACATCCGATTGCTCCCAAATCCGTGCGGTAAAATGCCGGAAATGTCCGAAGTGGCTTGGATTCATGGGAAACGAAACTGACGTGGTAAAGTGACGCTTCCCGCACGCTAGATCGGTGGGTAATTAGGTATTTTACAGATGGGAGTAGAAAAACAAGTTTTATGCTTTTTTTGGTACTATTATCAATAAATTTCGACAAATTACTATATACTATTTGATCAATATGCAATAGCCAAATTGCCTTAAGGTCTTACAGGAATTAATAGAATTTGAGACAGAAGTATTAAATCCCAAATTGTTTTTCATTTTAAAAAGTATAAAAGGTTGTAATGGTCATCCCGCATCATAATTTTAAACAAACTGTAGACTTCGGGACTCTACTCGATTGCAACCTTACCGACTTACCGACGTTTTGGTCGCTGCCAGATAAAAGTTTCCTTTAGCCCGAATACTGTCTATTTCTTTTAAAAATCTGATAAATTTGACACCGTAATGTAATAAAAATATCTTTCGACCGATAAGATAAAAATTTGATTGGCGGGCGGATAAACTAAAATCGGGTATTGTTATATCCACTAATATGCGAATTTATTAGGAAAATAATGAATCTATTTTTGTCGATATTTTTCATTTTCTTTGTTAATTTGAAAGTTTTTTCGCAAACGATTTTGGAGTTGAGCGACGCTAAAAGTTCAGTAACATGGAATCCTGCCACCGATGAGACGGTTACTGTTCAAGCTGAGGAAGGATATCAAATAGAACTGAACGTGACGAGATGCGATTTGGATGGCGAAAGTGGCGATTACGTCGTTCTCAAAAATGGTAATTCATCCAATTTTGAATAAGCTATTTTAACAGTAAGGAAAATAATTACACAGAGTTATTCACGCTATACGGTCCCGAAATATTGTGACTAATACAGGTGACTTCCAAAAAGTTGTATTTTTGAGATATGTGTGATCCTTATTAAAATTACTTTCATATTTTGAAAATTAAGTTACATTTATTTGCACCGGAACCCTTGTTCATTAAAAGAAAATTAAAAGTAAAAAGTTTTCTGAATCCTTATTTTATAAAAACATTACAATTTTCTCAGTTACGGCACAACTAGGATAAATTTAAGACCATTTTGGCGAACTTAAATAATTATTATAAACTTGTAACAAAGTGCCTTTTTCATGAAAAAGGACACGCATTTTTTAAAAATAAAGCCGCACTATTTTTTTTATCCATTTTTTTATTTATCCATTTAGCGCCTTAAAATGCATTTTAAATGCATGCTTACGAGAAAATTTTTAATGTTGTTAATTAAAATAACGAATCATGAATAAATTAGGTTTTAATGGCAATGGAAAACACAAAAAATTCGACAGCAGTTCAAAAAAATTGTCAAATAGTAAAGGTCGGGCGCAATTGTTGTTTCAATAAAATATTCAGACTTATTGGGCGATTCGGATGAGGACGACGACTATTCAGCGATGATGTTCACCTACAGCACTGGCGGAACAAATCTAAGTTACTTGTATGAAAGCAATAAGATTTCAGCCGAGTACGTTGCTAGAAATGCATCGAGCAGGTTCACAGCAGTATTTACAAGAAAAGGTAGGGTTAACGGTTAAGAAAAAATAATTACATCGTAATTTGTTGCGCTTTTCAGGTCAGGCACTGACAACCACAACGACCGAAGTACCTACCACAACTGTAATCTTACCAACACCAGAAGATGAGCAAAATGTGGGTATAACTGTCTACTTATACGGTGCAAGTGCAAATTCGTACAGAAACGAAAGTACCCACTTTAAAGAACTTAGAGCCTCTCTTGCTCAAATGGCCAGCGAATATGCAACTTTACAAAATTGCCCTGTCAATGGATCTATAACGTAAGTCAAACTAGAAGAGAACTTTATCTAGTACTGGGTGTTATTGACATTTCAAATGACGACAAAAATTCACGTTATTACGGTTGCAGTCTACTATTTCAGAAAAATAGATCCTAAAGTAGTGGAGGTACACTTTATAAATGTCTCTAAAAGAAATGGATCTGCAAATGGCTTTTTATTAATATTTCCGAAACAGGTTAAAAGTTTTGAAAGAGTAGCAGTTTAGTACTTTTGGCCTGCTAAATCGTCTCTAAAATTATAAATGTAAAATGTTGGTGAGTTGTGTAACTTTTGCTGCAGGCACAGCCATATAACTATTAAATAATATAGTGTCATAGTTAAAATTGATGCGCCGGCATTGATATTTTCGTAGCGCTATTTTCTTTCTAAACAATGATTTTCACACACTTTTCCATTTTTCCAGAATATTTTGACAAAATACTGCCATATCCAAACTAATTGACGATCTTCCAGTGGTCATGTTAATCATTGGCCTTAGGTCATTGGTTAAGAACGAGATTTTAAATCTCGTGCATGCGCATGTTAAATGGACGTTCTCAATTTTTTTTTCATAGTTGCTTCACGAGTCCCTGTAATATCAGCTATATAACTTGTGGGTTGACTTTTAGACATTTTTCATAAAATCGAAAACATTGTTTTCTGTTGCAAGAAAAAGGCGCAGATTGATACCGCTAGGATGCTCCATTTTCGAGGAAAATGGATTTTAAAAATACACTGTCCATCTTATTTGTTTATCAAAAATTAAAAAGTACTCATTTGTTAATTTTCATTTGATGGCTCGTTATGATAAATAAAAATAACATTAATCAGTAAGTTTAATTCATATTTCCTTATTCAATGGTTAGCAATAATAAAATCACTAATTTACGTTAAGTTCTCAGACGAAATTGACCTTAGTAAACAAGAGTACACAAAAATAATTCTAACTTTAAAAGGCAAAAAAGAATGTTGAAGCACAATCGAATCACTATTACTTTTACAGACTCTGCCTATTCTAATAATAGAAATTTTTGAAGCGACGATAAAAAAAATGTTGTTAAGCGTTTGAAATTTCCAGCTAAACTCACCAATAAGATCTAGCGGCGTTTAACAACCAATAAGGCTGCTGACAGTTCTTCAGTGCGACGGGTTTCAGTTTAGATATAACATTTTTAATTCTGCACCTTTTCTCAAATATGCCCCGATCTCATTAGATAGTTTCAGTGTGCGGACATTGATATTTAGTTGTGAAATTTGGAGTTATGCGCGGAAAATCAGTTTTTAACATGAAAATATTGAGTAATCGAAACAACTGCTGAGAATGAATATTGGGTCCCATTAAAAACAAAATGACTATCGTCGTTGCTCAGAAGCATATCAATTAAAATTTTGTCATTGTCTGTCAGGTGGTTGTTGAATTTTTGAAATCGGAAGGTTTTCGTGCAACCACGGTGAATTAAAAAACAGTGGGTAGTTAGTTTATGCTTATAACAATTTTTTCCATACAAAATATTAAAAAAGAACTAAAAACACTTTTTTTAATTTTTCAAAGACTTCCACAGGCTATTGTAATACTTTTTATAAAACTTCTGGATTCCTCCTGCGTCAGTTTTTGTTGAGTCGAACTAGCTAATGTTTCGCCAATTATCCTGTTGACTTCAGTTTCAGTCAAGCTCTGAAGAAGCCAACAGGATGATTGGCGAAACGTTAACTAGTCCGACTCATCAAAAACCGACGCAGGAGGAATCCAGAAATTTTACAAAAAGTGAACTAAAAACATCTTTTTGGTTTATAGAGACCAACAATGTATTGTATAGGTACCTAGTAATAATAATACTATTATTGCAGGTCAAGCAATGTTCTAATAAGCTTCTTAGAACAGTGTCACATTACGTGGAACGAATATGATAAATGTATCAGCTTAACATTCGCAATTCCAGTAAATTTAATCAACGATGGCGAAAATTCTTTATGGTCAGGTTATCAATTTAATGAAGAACATCTGAACCTGATGTGGAACACCCTCGCTTCAAAAAATGTCGCAGATTTGGGTTTAAAGCTGTACCCGGTGCCAAACGTCAGTGGCATAATGACTAAAAGAATGGTTGCCATATCTTTAATAATCGTAATACTTATAATTTTCTTACTATCTGCAAGATGTATAAGAAGGAAATACTCTCAAAGAAGGTATAGTTAGCCAGCAGTCGAATGTAATTATATGCAATAGATAATTTTTTTTAGGCGCAGGAAATTAAGCGATACTGTATCAATTGTTAACGATTCAAACAGAAACAGTCGGTTGTCCCTAACGCCGCACTACCTTCAAGAGACTCCTCCGTTGTTTGGAAGTGATTACCCTATATTTCCTGGTCAGGATCTTAATAGGGGATCGACTTTTACTAAACCTACGTTTAATCATGCCACCTGTGAGTAATCATCGCTGCTATTTATACATATAAACTAATTAATGTACGGACTAGATAGCTTTCCTGTTGATTGCTAACTAATAATCTTCAAATATGCTGGCGTGTTTTAGATAATGACGGTATGGATGAAAACAGCCTGGATATTGAAGAAAACAAAGTGGTGGTTGTAGCAGATATTATTAATACAGAAACACCTGCATAAATTCTGGGATAATTATACAAACAATGTATACTTGTGAATTTAAAAAAAAATGTTAATTTATAGTTAATTGCTTTGCTTAATTACGTCTATAGGTTTAATACATAAAATATTTTTTTCTACCCGCTAATCTATTATTCACTGACAGCAACCGTGTTCGAAATATTTTGGTTTGAAACATAGACATATAATATTGTGGACCTACTACGTTAAAAAGTGATGCCCCCATCTGGCTATGGTATTTTCGTTGAGGTGTGTTGCCACATATTTTTATAAGAACGTAAAATCAGTCTCTGAAATCTGAATCTGGCCATTGTTGTTTGTGATTATCTCCTTTTGGCGTTTGTTAGTGTTAAATGGATAAACTTGCAAAAATGTTATAGATAATATATAACAACTTGTGGGTGTATAAGAAGAATTCATAATCCCAATACTAGAAAAAAGAGAAATGAAGATTCTTGTTTAAAGTGCTGAATTAAATAATTATACTAGTTTATTAATTCTGTAAAATTAATTTGTGTTCAATTCTCTTATCTTTAGGGCTAATTGTTTATTGACTTGCTTTATACTAGTTTTTAATTTTCTTTTGCAATATCTAAGGTGTTTTAACCAAATTGTACATACGCATCTGTCATAATTATATATTTGGAAGGCGAAACTTTCTGCAATTCCTACACTTGCGATGAAAGAATGAGCGATCTGTCTATATGAGGTGCTTGTTGAACATTGTTTCCACTTATATATTTCAATGGAGGTTAAACCAATAACTTTATAAAAACAAACGGTATGTGTCGATTTACAGGCACAAATTCGGGAAAAAAGCTGGTATCGTATCGACGGGGCTTAAAGAACAAAAACGCCAAATTACTTACTCACTTAACCCTGCACTTGTCTCTTTTTTTAACAATGTTTTCCACACCTTAATTCCCTTTTTGCCTAAAAATTTAATGGGATTTCGACATATTTTGAGAAATTACTGCCGTAAAAACGAAGCGTCCGAACATTGACGACTTGCCAGCGGCCATGTTGGTTGTTGGAAGCCGCAAGACCTCATGGGTGGAACGTCAGAATTTACAATTAAAGCTGCCATTGGTTAAAAACGAAATTATAAATCTCGCGCGTGCACAAATTGAACGGACCTTCTCAAAATGTTAGTACATAGTTGCTTCACGAGTTCCTGCACTACTAGCATAGGCAGGACTTCTATATGTCTAGTAGCTATATGATTTGAACCACATAGCTGAAATGTGCCGAAACACCTTCACGTTCCATATTTCGTTCAATAAGAGGTATATTTTTCAGAAAAAAAGGAAACTCCTTAAAAAAACCGATTGACAATATTTTTCGCAATTTAATCTTTCCGGAAGGCCTTACGCTTTTTAAAAAATACCAAGATCGATTCTTCAAACCCACATAGCTATAAGATAATATAGTGGCCCTACTACGGTAAAAAGTGATGCGCCGCAAATGGCTCTGATATTCTCGTAGAGACTTTTGCGCGAGTGTCACCCGCAACTAACTGAGTTGTCACATTGCCTTAATTTTTCTGAAAAAATTACTAACAGTTTGTAACATTGTTGTTTACATTTTTGGTGTTTATGATTTTCTCCGTCCTTTTTTCGTGTTTTTGTGAAAAACTTGTTGTTTGTGGTCAAAACTAAGGAAAAGAATTTGCCTATATACGGGTAAGTATTGCCTTATCTACAAGTTCATTTAAAAGATTTGAAAGAAAAGTGGTTTCTATAGGACTCCTCACAATCTTGTATAATTTGCGCTTTCAATACTTGCTCCTTAACGAAATTACAAGTGTAGCAAATATGAGGACCTAATAGCATATCAGACAAAACCGAGTGATTTAACAAACTGCAAAGTACACTTAAATAGCTAGATAGAAAAGGTGTTTGGGAAATATGTTTTAGTGTAGAGCAAGTTTTACAAGAACAATCACAAGAAATACTTGATAATTACAAATCCTTGTAAACCTTAATGTGGGAAAGTTTCCGTTTGTCATCATCACGCTTAGGGAAAACGAAATTTGCTTTTCGGTTGGTCAAAAATTACAGAAATTGTTAGCGCAGAAAGTGAGGAATCACCAGAATATATGTGCAGGATATTTTTGGGAAGTCTGAAGGCATTACAGGAAATCTTTGAGAATTACCAGGAATTCTAGACAACTATTCAAAATTTGGGGTACTTCATTTGTAGGTCATCTACCTCCTTAGAGAGGTAAGTGAATACTGCAGTACGTACATACACAATTTGACACTGATTAAATAGAACCAGTTCTATCAATAAATACTGATTTTGTAAATCTGCTTTTTGGATTCGGGGCAACTTCAGTTGGAAAAATATTTTATGCACAACTTGGGAGCAAGAGATATTGATTAGTCTCCGACTATTTTCCCTACCCTTGCTTAACTCGAGAGTAAGTTATGTCCTTGACTCGTAAGTATCACCTACCTCCCTTGTGTGAGTAACTATTTAGTACAAGTTGTGGGACTGATCCATGTTCTCTATCCAATTTTTTTCTGTAGACTTGCACATATGTCTGTTCTTTAGTTTTGATATAACAATCACTTACTAGGTAGTGCCATTCAATTTACATTTTATTTTTGAATTTACTAAAAAATGACATTGTAAGGACCAACATATGTGGAGGTCACGTCATTTAACAATTGCTGTTAAATATTTGTTTCCACTCCCGTCTGTAAAATACCTAATTACCCACCGATCTAGCGTGCGGGAAGCGTCACTTTACCACGTCAGTTTCGTTTCCCATGACTCCGAGCTACTTCGGATATTTCCGGGATTTTACCTCACGGATTTGGGAGCAATCGGATATTTTCGGAGATATTTCCCACGCTTTGAATTTTGACGTTTGTCAATTGTGACGGTCATGTCAGTGAATTTATTCGTGTTGTTTTGCGAGAATGTACCCAAAAACTAACGGTCGTAGAAAAAGTATAGTATGCAACACGTTCGGTAAACTTTTTAACTCACTCGTTTATTAAAAACTCGCTCCGCTGCGCTCCACTCTTGTCAAATAAACTCGTGAGTCAAATGCCATTTACCGCATTTCTTGCATAATATACTATTAACGGCGAATTTTTTGCGGTAGCCGCCATGCAATTTTTGCTAGAAAAATGTTTTTTAAATTTTGAGACAATAAACTCACTTTTTAGGGTTTGGTAATGTTAATTCTGTTACAATTACGGCTAATTGTTTATTGACTTATTTTATACTAGTTTTTAATTTTCTTGGTTACATTTTCTAATACCTACAGTTTTTTAACGAAATTGTCCATTGGTACTCTTCGTAATTAGGCGAAACTTTCTACATCTACCAGATTTGTAATGAAAGAATGAGCGTTCTGTCTATATGGGGGGCTTGTTGAACATTTTTTCCACTTAGATGTTTCCAGTGCGATATCTAGTACCTCAAAGTTATATTTACATTTTTAAACTCACATTTCGTGAATTCGACTTTATTTACATTTTCAATGGAGGTTAAACCAATAAGTTTATAAAAACAAACTGTTTGCGCCGATTTACGAGCACAAATTCTGGAAAAAATAGCTGGTATCGTGTCTATACAGCTTAAAGAACCAAAACGCCAAACTACTTACAGAATTATATTAAAGACGCCGATTTCTGTGCTGTAATTCTGCATAATATTAACCCTGCTAATTTTGTTAACAACGTTTTTCACACCTAAGTTTCTTTTTTGCCTGCAAATTTAATAGGAATTCGACGTATTTTAAGAAAATACTGCCGTAAAAATGCAGCATCCAAACATTGACGACATGCCAGCGACCATGTTGGTTGTTGGAAACCGCAAGGCCTTATGGGTCAGAATTTGCAACTAGAGCTGCCATTGGTTAAAAACGAAATTCAAATCTCACGCATGCGCATATTGAACAGACCTCAAAATTTTGTTACATGTTGCTACATGAGTTCCTGGAATTATTAGCATCGGCAAGGCCTCTATATCTCTATATGTCTCGTAGCTATATGGTTTGAACATAAGGCCTTGCGACTTCCAACAACCAACGTGGCAGCTGCCAAGTCGGTAATGTTTGGATGTTGCATTTTTACGGCAGTATTTTCTCAAAATATGTCGAAATCCCATTAAATTTTCAGACACAAAAGGAATTAAAGTGTGGCAAGCGTTGCTAAAAAAATTAGCGACAAGTACAGAGTTAATATTATGCTGAATTACAGCACAAGGATCGACGTCCTTAGTACAATTTTTCCCAAATGTATGCCTGTAAATCGGCGCAGTTTGTTTTTATAAACTTATTAGATTAGCCTCTATTGAAAATGTAAATAAAGGTGAATTCACTAAATGTGACTCTAAAAATGTAAATATAACTTTATTAAGAAATATTTTTTTCCAGGTGCACACTCCAGACTGGTTTTGTAGATAAGATTTTGGTTTATGCCACAACTATGACTTGCCTTTGATTATAATAGCATTTTATATAGTGTTTTATTAACTCGTTTTGAAGTTCACAGAAGACATAGTGGCACGTTGGAGAATGAACACAATGTAAAAATATAAATGAATAAATACATGAATTATTTAATAAGGCTTTTATTGAAAAGAATAAAATACATTGTTGCTTATAAACAATAAGAAATTAAATAAAAAAATATGCTGCATTTTTTAATAGCATAATATTTATTTTCTATTTACACAATGGCGTCCAACATAAGATGTTACTCTTGTCCAGAAACTTTTACATTACTTGATTTGAGAGGATCACTACCTTTAAAAATTACAAAAAAGAAGATGAAACCAATAAACAAATGTTCATTTATAATACATTAAAATTGGTCAATCCTCAAAACTGCCCAGCAACGGCAACATCGCGAGCACCGTAAAAAAAGGTTGCCTGCAAAAAAGGGATCGGCGCTGCCGACCCTTAAGAGAGACCACGGGACGCTGGGTCTCGACATTACAACCCGTGCTAGCAAACGTTAAGCTTCGTTATTCATTTTCATATGTTTTTTCCTTTGTTTGTTAGTTGTAAAAGTTTGTTAAGTTGTAAAAGTTAAA